CTGAACCTTCCGTGGAGGCACTGCCCGCTGCACCTCACTGTGGGCACGGCACTGGATTAGCTGGGGGGGGCTCAGCAGCCCCTGCCCGCCCCACGCTGCGCCCCAGGCACTGGCCATGCTGCCCACGCTGCACCAGCCCTGTGTGCACGCACCTACACGTGCACTGAGCTGTGCTGGTGCCCCTGGTGCTGCACTGCTGTTGTGGGCACAGGGGCACTGAGCAGGCTGTCAGTGCTGCACATCCAAGCATGCCCTGCACCAGCCCTGTACCTGCACCCACTGCACCCACCGCACCCACCCTGCACACCCGTGCCCTGCACCCACAGCAGCCACGCACGTGTCCCAAGAAGGGAGGAGAGGCAGGGCTGTGTGGTGCCCTCTCACCTTGGCAGTACCTTCCTGTGTAGCCAGGGGGACAGGAGCACTGGCAGCTGCTCATGTCGAGGTGTCCGCTGTTCCTGCAGCTCATGCGACAGGGGTTCCTGGGCACCTCTGGGCACAGCAGGTGGGGGCGTCAGGGATGGCAGTGGCATTGCTGGGGCCACCCAGGGACCGGAGGGACCGCAGGGACTCACCACAGAGCCCGCCGCCGTGATCCCAGGACTTGAAGCAGCCAGAGAGGCCAGCAGTGCAGAGGGAGCACCAGGGGCCCTGCTTGTAGGGCAGGATGGGCATCCCGGCCACCTCCCAGTTGCCCCTGGCCCCACAGGCAGCTGGAGGAGGATGCTCCGCCCACGCGGGCAAGCCACGCCCCTTTCTGGGCAAAGCCCCGCCCACTTCCAGTGCACAGCACCGCCTACATTTCACAGCCCCGCCCACTTCTGCAAAAATAGTCCCGCCCACCACACTCGGCCCCACCAACTTTAACACACAGCCCTGTCCATGGCGCCAAACCCTTGGCCACTCACCAAAACCAGCACCGCCCACATTTCCCACCTCGCCCACTTCAGTGCACAGCCCCACCCACACCATCCTGCCCCGCCCACTCCCATCACCCAGCCCCGCCCACCAGCAGGTCACAGCTCCGCCCCCACCCCTCCCCGTGCATCCCCATAGGTCAATCCACACGGACACACCCAGCAGAGACCCCGCCCCCATGCCACACCCACTTACCCCAGGCCCCACCCCCATGCCCCATAGCCCTGCCTCTCCCAGCATGTCCTCCCCCCATCCCCTCCCCTCTTCCTCCCCCCCTCAGCCCTTACCCCGGGTTGTAGGCGCAGGCGAAGGCCTCGCTGGGGCCGTGGGGGCCGTGGCAGCGGTGCCGGCCGCAGCCCAGCCGCCCCGCCGTGGCCCACACCAGCTGTGGGAGGACACGTGTCACCCCGTGCCCCGGACCCCCAGGGCCCCCAGTGCCACCCCCGCCCCGTGCCCACCTGGGTGTAATGGTGGCAGGTGGCGTTGCTGGCGCAGCGCCCCGTCCCGTAGTCGTAGCGCCGTCCCTCGCTGAACCAGCGCTCCAGCACGGCCACGAAGCCCCCCGTGCCCGCCGGCAGCAGGGCCTCGTTCCAGCCCAGCTGTGGGGCTGCTGGGGGAGCAGGGCCCTCCAGGCAGCTGGCTGCCCGTGCCCCAGCCAGCTGCCCCAGCTCTTCGCTCCACTCCTGCGGGGATGGGCGTAAGCACCCAGGGAACAGCCCGGGGGCGATTTGGGGGCTGACAAGAGGGTCAGTCCAGGGGATGACCGAGGGATGTAATGGGGGATGCTGCAAGGGACCCCTAGGGACCAGCCCTACCCTTAGTGTGCTCAGGTGTGGAGTGGTTGGGGGACACCAAGGGCCATCATGGGGAATGGGAGACCCCACAGAAGGAAGACCCCTGGGGACCAGCTCTGTCCTTGGTCTGCACAGGTATGAGGTGATTGGGGGATATCCAGGGCCATCACAGGGCATGAGGGACTCCACAGAGGATCCCATACTGGCCTTGGTATGTGAAGGTGTGCTGTGATCAGGGGACATCAGAAGGACAAGGCAGACCCCAAAAAAGACCTCAAGGGACCAGCCCTGTCTTTGGCCTGCCCTCGATCTGTCAGTGCTCATGACACGTCCTTCCCTGGGGGCCCCACACCAGCTCTTCTGCCTCGTTAGCTTGTTAACAAACCGCTGTGTAGCACCCACGGGCTACCCCCTTCCCTGGGCATGGAGAGGCAGGTGGGTGTGACATCGAAGGTGGGGGACATGGGACCTGCCAGGGGTCTCACCAGCTTCTGCATGTTGGCAGCGGGGGGCTGCACTTTGCTCCTCAGCTTGTTGTGCAGCGAGAGCACCAGGAAGGTCTCCTTCATGCTGAGAGCTGGGGGGACAGCAGGGGATAGGGATGGGGCCAAGGGGGCCAGGGGGTGCAAGTGCCTTCCCCGTATCCCTGGCTGTGGTCGGACGCTTCGGGAAGCCGTGGGAACTCTCCCTGAAGGGTCCGACCGCAGCCGGGGATACGGGGAAGGCACCCAGGTCTCCATGGAGACTTGAGGGGAGAGAAGAAAGCGCTTTTGGGCTGGGAGCACAAAAGGGGCAAGGGGCCGAGGGGGGGGGAGGGGGGTGGCCAGCCCGCTGAGCCCCTGTCTCGCACGGGTGGGCTGAGACTGCCAGGAATGCACCCGTTCTCCGCCCCCTTCCCCCCCCAGCTCTGTCCTGCCAGCACCCAGACCCTTCTGGCCTCGACCCATCACTAGCCCCCATCACCAGCTGCAGGCCCCCCCCAGCCCCATTCCATCACCAGCTCCACCCCATCACCAGCCCCAGACTAGCCCAAGGTCCAGTAGACCCAGAGTTCTCCAATCCCTTCCCATCACCAGTTCCATCCCATCGTTAGCCCCAGAGCCCCCCCCAGCTCCATCCCGTCACCATCTCCATCCCATCACCAACTCCATGCCTCCGTCCCAGCCCCCCACCAAGATCCTCGTTGCCATCCCTGGATGCCCATCACCCACCCACCCCCCTGCCCGCCTGGTCCGTCCCTCTGTGCTCAGGGTGCACTCACCCCCTAAACCAGCTGCCTCCCAGCCCTGCTGCCGGAGGAGCAGCCCCTCTTCCCAGTTACCTCCCGGAGCCAGCGGGGACAACTTCTCTGGAGCATCCGACCTCGTCTCACCCACCCTCCACACCAGGAGGTTGCAAACCAGCACGACCAAGAGCTCCATGTCGCTCCTGGGATGGTGGGGGGACTGGAGGCTCCGGAGGGAGGGCTGTGGAGAGCCGAGCCACCCCTCAGCAGCCCAGGCTTTGGGGCGAGCTCGGCCGCTCGCTCCTGCGCGCTCCTGTGTGTGTGTGTGCGTTTGTGTGTGTGTCTGGTCGCAGGATTTGATCCTATTCAGGACTCCAGACAGGCACCGCTGGGCAGCGCGAACAAAAGCTTGACGGGTGAGTAATAGCTCTGTCAAAACAGTTGCTCGCTGGAGCGAATGTGGCAGACAAGTCCCGGGGCCCTGGGCTGCAGCCCCGCCGGGATGTCCCGCAGCGGGGTCAGCCCCCTGTGCTCTGCCCCAGCCCCTCCGCCGGGCCGGGGTCGGGGTGTGGAGGCAGCAGGAGATGGGGTTGCAAGCAGAACCCACTTGGGGACCCTGGGAGGCTGGATACCAAGGGGCTGGGGCAGTAAGGGGGCCCCTGCTGCCAGCCTTCCTCCTGCCCCATGAATTAAACATGCCGGGGAGGTAACACACACCGCTGCAGGCAGGAAGCCAAATACCCGCCCCGGAGAGCTGGGCAGCGCCGTTACGGGGTGGGAGGATGTGAGGGCTGGGGGGCCGGTGGTGGGAGAGGTGCCGGGCTCGGGATGTCTCGGCAGGCACTCGGGGTCGGGCAGCAAGGCCAGAGCCCGGGCTGCTCAGGGGCTCAGCAGCACCCTGAAGGCTTTGCCCCAGTGCAGAGCTCCCAGCAGCCATGCCAGGTGCCCCACTGGCACAGGGCAGAGGTGTGGGCTTCAGACATCCCTGCTGGGGCCTGTGCATGTGGCTGTGCCCCCTTCCTCTGGGCTGTCACAGGCAGGAGGGACCAGGAGCATCCTACCTGCCAGCTGTCAGGTCTGAGCTGGGTGTCAGCATAAACCCAGCTCTAAATGCTTCAGTTCCCTCACCCTGAGCCTAACCCTGGCCTTGAACCCTGGCCTAGTGCTGATGCCAACCCCAACTCTCATCCAAACCTTACTCCTAATATGGAGCTTAACCCTCAGAACTGATCCTAACCCTAACCCTAACCCTAAGAAAAAAACTGACCTTAGTCCTAACCATGAGTTTAATGCTAACCCAAACATTAAACTCCAAACCTGACCCTAATCCTAACCCCAACCTAACCCCAATGCTAATCCTAATTCTAAACCTAATCCTGACTCTAACCATAACTCTAATCCTAACCTCATCCCTAGCCCTAATGCTGACTCTAACATTAACCCTGACCTGAGTGTTAATGCTGACTGTAACACCAACCTGCATCCCAGCTCCAGGCTGCATCAGATCCCTGGGGTTCCCCTCTAAACTCCAGCCATGGCTGAGCTCACCCCAGCAAAGCTGTGCTGAGTCCAGTGAGCCCCTGGGCTGCCCTTCCCCACAGCCCCAGCCCCTCCAGAGAGCTGATTCCCAGCACAGACCCCCAAAGCCATCTTTTCCCACAGCAGACTTTCCCAGCTTAGCAAACACACGGGATTAGCCTCCTCCTGCATCCCTGTGTGCTGGGAAGCCCCAGAGCCGGGGCTGGCCGTGGGGCGAGCCCGGCACCGCCGGTACCGCCGTGAGTGCCGTGACAGCCACCGCCTGGCCCCGGCATCTGCTGGCCCCGGGACATGAAAGGCCCCAAAGCCTCTGATGTGCAGAGAGGGAAAGGAACGGAAGGGAAGGGAAGGGAGAGGCTGGAGCCAGTGCCAAGGGGAAAATTTCCTACAGCTCGGCCTCGGCCAGGAGAAAAACCAACAAACACACAGGCACACACTGTGGATAAATCCCAGTGAGCACAGGAGCACAGCTGGGAGTAGAACCGGACCATCAGCGTCTTGTCCCTGCAGTCATCCCTGGCGTGATGCTCCTCATCCCACTGCCAGCCTGGCTGGCCCTGGGCATCCTGCAGCTGCCCCTCGGCAGCACCCAGGTAAGGACTCTCATGCCTCCCTCCCTCCGGCCCCATAGCAGACCCCGCACTGTGGGCTGCTCAGCACCCACCTCTCACAGCCCAGCACCCCGTCACCAGCCTGGCATGGTGGGTACAGCACAGCCACGGCACCCCTGGGGCTGCCCAGGGCTGGGGGGGGTGATCATAGGACTTTTCCACTGCAGCAGCGAGATGATGTTAAATCCACTTGGGGCATCCAAGCTGCTCCTCAGCATCCAAGTGCCTGGGCAGGGCTGGGTGGGGAGGGCTGAGGCTGGAGCAGACACGGAGCCAGGGGCAGACCCCAACTGGAAGGGGAAGGGGCCCTGCCCAAAGCAGGCCATTCAAACCAACTCCAAAGATGCTGCCTGCTTGGACGGGTCCCCCTGGGCTGTGGCAGGGTGGCAGAGGAGCCTGGCGGGTGACAGGGCTGTCCACGTGTCGCCCCAGGAGTGCCTGAGCCAGCAGCAGGCGCTCAGCGCGGTGCGGCAGATGCAGAAGGTGCTGGCGGCGCAGGAGGCCGCCCACCTGCGGGGCACGCGTGGGCTCCGCAACCAGCTGTCCATCCTCCAGAGCCGCCTCCAGAGACAGCCCAGCACACGCAACGGTAACCCCGGCCGGGCACCACCACGGGTGACGTCCCCACGGGGCCGGCTCCGACCCCTGGGGCCCCACAGACAGCCTGGGCAAGGCACCCCCAGCTCCTTGCCGGGTTGGGGTCGGCTCCAGCCTGGGGATGTCCGTCCTCACCCGTGTCTGTCTGTCTGTCCGCAGACACCTGTCCGCAGCTGGCGGTGCCCCTGAACGGGCGGATGCTGGGCCGGAGCGCGCGGGTGGGCCACGACGTTCACTTCGTCTGCAACGGCGGCTTCCGGCTGGTGGGCTCGGAGACGCGCAGCTGCCGGCACAACCGCACGTGGAGCGGCACCCAGCCCTCCTGCAGAAGTGAAGTGGAGCGGGGTTGGGGTGCCCTGGGCTCAGCCCAGCCCGTGGGCTCCTCCCTCACCCTGAGACACGGGGTTCCATCGCTCTGCCCAGAGGCTGCAGCCATGGGCACGGGAATGAAGTGAGGATGTGCTACTCCGGCTGGTGCTCACGAGCTGCTTCTCCCTAGGTATTGACGACTGCTCCAGCAACCCGTGTGCCAACAGCGGGACCTGCGTGGATGGCGACCAGAGCTACACCTGCCTCTGCCCCCCAGGCTGGTCAGGCCCCACCTGCCAGAGCCCCATCTACTCCTGTAGGTGTCCGGGTTTGGACCGCGGAGGACGGGGATGCTCATGAGGACAGCACGTGATGCTGCGCTCATCTCCTCCCTCCCTGGCAGCCCCCCAGGGACTTCAGCCCTCTCCCCACACCCCACCCAGCATGTGACACCCGCTGTCCCCCACAGACTGGGTGACACTGAGCAACGCCTCCTTCAGCCGCCAGCCCCGCTGTGCCGAGGGCCGCTCGGGCTCCCGGCGCTGCAGCTGCGACACCGGCTTCCAGCTGAGAGCTGGTGGCGTGTGCCAAGGTAAAAGAGGGCTGAAGATGGCAGGGAGAGGCGGGAAAACCAAGGCTTGGTGGCAAAGGGCCCCCTGGCCATTGCCCACTTTGCCTCCCCCAGATGTGGATGAGTGCCAGCTCTACCAGTCCAGCCCCCAGACCCGGATTTGCCTCCACGACTGCCTCAACCTCCCTGGCTCCTACCGCTGCCTCTGCCCCCCCGGGTACCTCCTCCACGCCGACCGCAACGCCTGCGAGGGTGAGAGTGGCAGGGCAGGGAGCAGCCCGTGGGAAGAGGGGTGCGGTGGGGACAGCCCCACTCACCCCGTGTCACCACCGCAGATGTGAATGAGTGCACTGGGAAACAGCACAACTGCACCCAGGGCGACCTCTGCATCAACACCTTCGGGGGCCACCGCTGCGTGCGCCCCAAGTGCCCCCCGCCTCGCCACAACACCAGCTACGTCAAGACCTCCGCCTTGTGAGTACCGTACTGCGGGTGGCTCAGGCTGTGTTGTGCCCTCTCCGAGGGTGGTGGGTCCTGCTGTGCCCTGGGGACTGTAGTGTGTCACCCAGGGGCAGCGGGGCAAGTGCCAGCCAGCACTGGCAGCAAATTGCCACTTGGGGTGCCCGGGTATGCTTGGCATGCTCCTGGATGGTCTTGGGATGCTGGTGGCTGGGGGTGCAGGTGGGAACACCCCAATATATGGTGGCTTTACGCAGAATCCTGCCTCCCCCAGAGCCCCATACTGTGGGCAAAGTCACTATTTCCCCTCTGCTGTGCATCCATGTGTTGCCATCAGCTGCCTTCCAGCAGTGGCCATCCCACTCTTGAGACTAAACCGCTTTGTGGCTGAGCAAAAGCACCCAAGCAGAGGAGCATCCCTGATCCTGACATCTCCCCTTCGGGAGGCACATCTGGCTCCATCCCTGGCCTCCAGCTGTGATTGGGCTACCCACAGCCCCAGCCTTAGAGCCTCACCCAGAGCTGTGTTCCTGCAAGGAACTCAGATGTGACTGCCTTGGGTTGCTCTGCCACAGGACCAACAGTGGGGCTGGAGATGCTGCCTGTGGCGCGGGCTGGGCTTGTTGAGGGCAGCTCCCCGAGCGAGCCAAACCACGGCGCTGAGCGGTGGCACCCCCTTCTCTCCCGGCAGCCAGTGCGAGAGGAACCCCTGCCCCATGGAGAGCCGGGCCTGCCTCCTGGCTGCCACCTCCATCTCCTTCCACTACCTGCCGCTCCAGGCCAACCGCACCGTGCCCCGGGTCCTCTTCAAGATGTCCACCACCCGCTTCGTGGGCGACAGCCTGCGCTTCGCCATCACGGGCGGCCGGGGCCAGGCCGTCTTCTCCGTGCGCCGCTCCGACCGGCAGACGGGAGAGCTGCTGCTCACCAGCCCCGTGGCGGGGCCAGCCACGCTGGAGGTGGAGCTGGAGATGAGCGAGTTCTCCCGCAAAGTCCTCCTGGGCAAGCACATCTTCAAGGTCACGGTCTTTGTGTCCCCGTATGTGTTTTGATCCCCTTTTGGGGGGGCCAAGCCGGGGTCTCTCCTGGGGAGCGATGGAGCGGGTGCAGCTCGGTGGTCCCAGTGTTTGTCCCATTGGAGACATCCCCATCCCATAATGCTTGCTCATGGCTGGCAGGGCAAAGCCACCACAGCAAAAAATGGTGTCCCTGTAGGAAAAACCCCACGGGCAACGGCGGGGGGACCAGCCTGGGTGTGCCTGTCTCTGCCAGCCCCCCTCCTCTCTGCCTGCAGAGCACCCAGAGGGGAAAGACAGAGCGAGCCAACAGCACTTGGCATGCAGGTCCAGCTTCTTGTATCTTGTAATCTCTAATAAAAGAAAAGTGGCTGTAGAAAGGGTGTCCTCCTTGCTCTGTGCCCCCTGCTCCTGGGGCAAGGCTCCTGGGGACGCTGCTGTGCTCACAGCAGGGTCCTCTTGCAGAGCTTGGGGGGCCAGTAGAGCTGCCAAGCCCACCCAGGGTCATGCAGTGTCCATGTCCCTTGCAGCACCACTGTTGCTGAGGGCCATGCTGATGAGCCCCCCAGCACAGGACTGGGAGATGGGCTAAACACAGAATCACGGAATGGTTTGAGTTGGAAGGGATCATCTCCTTCCAACACCGCTGCCATGGGCAGGGACACCTTCCAACAAGCTGCCCTGCACATCCTGTGCAGCCAAAGCTGTCCTCAGCCCCTTTGGCAGCGCCTGGACCACGCTCTGGCGAGCAGGGGATGGTGATGGGGGCCACGCTTCCTTGTGTCCAGGAGGCTTCCCTCTGCTAGAGCTCTGACAAGAGCCAGCCACGCGGCTGATCAAAGCTCCGCAGCTCGCCGAGCACTCGAGCTGTTCCCCTGCACCCAGCTCGAGGAGGGTGGGCTGAGAGAACAAGAGAGGTGCAGCCCCCCACTCTCCTCGGGCACCCCCCGCACGGCCGGACCCCTGCGCAGGGAGAGCCGCCGGCAGCTGGAGGTTGAAAAGGTGACGAGGGCCTTTGGGGACAGCGAGGGAAGGACACGCAGCCTCCGGGACACCCTGGAGCCTTCTCAGGTGAGAGCCCGGCCAGCACAAAGCAGCCGCTGTGCGCAGACGGCAGGCGGCTCATAAAGAGCTCCTTGTGCGCCCGACAGCGGCTCCCGGGGCTCCGCGAGGCTGCCTCGCTGGAGGACAGGAGGGAAAAGCCTCCCCAGGGTCACCAAAATCCACATCTGGCCCGCGCCGACTGCGGAGAGAGGCTGGGATGCAAAGCAGGGAATTACAGGGGTAAATATTTATCCCCGCGCACGAGGTGTCCCGGCCAAACTGGGCACCACGAGCGGGGTTTGGGGCCGGTTTCTTTTACCCTTCGAACCTTCAGGGACAGCACGACTTGATTAATAGTTTGCACCCACCTTACTGATTGCTAATGAGAGTAAAACTTTGCAAAACTCACTCCCTGAAAGGAGGCTGTAGCCGGGTTGGGGGCAGCCTCTTCTCACAGGTAACGTCTGGCAGGATGAGACAAAGCAGCCTCAAGTTGTGCCTGGAGAGGTTTAGATTGGATATTAGAGAAAATTTCTGCACAGAAAGGGTGGTCAGGCACTGGGACTTTCTGCCCAGGGCGGTGGTGGAATCAACATTCCTGGAAGTGTTCAAAAGGTGTGTGGATGTTTCACCTGGTATAGTGGTGAACATAGTGGTGCAGGGTTAACAACTGGGCAATGATCTTAGAGAGCTTTTCCAACCTTAATAATTGCATGGTTCTCGATACTTATTTATTGATTCAGTGAAGTGGTCACAGCACCAAACATGACAGAGTTCAGAAAGCATTTGGACAACACATGGTGTGATTCTTGGGGTTGTCCTGTGCAGGGCCAGGAGTCAGACTCGATGATCTTTGTGGATTCCTTCCAACTCAGGATATCCTGCGATTCCATGATCCAGGCATCCCTGGGATCCATCTTGGTGAAATTACCGAAGCCAGACGATGCTGGGAGGATTTCAAAGCAGTGTCAAATGCTGCATTATCCCAGTTGCCCAGGGGACCCTTTATCCTTCATGGACAACTCTATGCTTCCAGAAGCGATCCATTTAGTCCGCTTTCCTTAAACACTAACCGCTCCAAAGCCTCCAGTAAAACTCTGCCACCTCATTTACGTCTCAGTATAAATCTGAATATATATATTAACAAAAACAATGCACTTCTGTGTTATTACGACTGCTTGACACAATCGGGAAGGGAATTTTTCCAGGATGGCTTCCAAACCAGCTTCCAGCCTTCCTCCCGCGTCCCCGCGGAGCGGTCGCGCCCGGCGCGGTTTGGGCCCCGCGCGCCGCCGTAGCCGTTGCCATGGCGACGGGCCCAGCGGCCCGAGGAGGCGCCGGGAGCGGCCGTGGAGGCCTCGCCCGCGGGCCCCGCGCCCTGCCCGGGCATGAGGCGGGGACGGGGCCGCTGCCAACCGCGTCTGCGGGGAGAAGGTGAGGCGAGGGAGGTGCTGGAGGTGCGGGAGGGTTTACGCCGCTCTTGTCAGGGCGGCTGCTCGGGAACCCGCTCGCCCGGCTCGGCCCCTGGTGCCTGCCCTGGTGACTGTCCCTGCGTACCGGTGCCTCTCTCGCTGTCTGCGCTGAGCACCCTGATAGTGACTTCGTGCCTTGGCTTTTGTATTCACCGGTTTCTGGAGCTGGGTAGAAGGCAGTGCTGGGCATAGCCCACAGCATGAGGGCATCCCACCGGGACAGGGAGGTGGAGCAGCTGGACAAGGGGAAATGGCTTCGCACTGACAGAGGGAAGGGTTAGATTGGATATTAGAAGGAAATTCTGCCCTGTGAGGGTGATGAGGCTCTGTCACAGTTGCCCAGAGAAGCTGTGGCTGCCCCATCCCTGGGAGTGTCCAAGGCCAGGTTGGATGGGGCTTGGAGCAACCTGGAATAATGGAAGGTGTCCCTGCCCATGGCAGGGGGTGCAACTGGATGAGCTTTGAGGTCCCTTCCAACCCAAACCATTCTGTGATTCTCAGCCAGACTCTGCTCTGGGGTGGCTGCAGCCACAGGGACAGCCCAGCCAGGAGGCAGCTTCAGTCACAGAGAGTTTGACAGAATTCTGTCCAACTGTACCAACGTTTTGGACATTAAATACCATCGTGTTAAAACCATCCAGTGTCACAAACCAGCAAAATCTTGCAGCAGAACTTCCTCCTTTTCTTTCCAGGATGTGTGTGGGCCTCTTTCCCTAGCCAGGGTCTGATGAGGAGAAAGGAAAAATCCGGGAATTTCTTTAAATGATCTGAGCAGGTTTTGTATCAGGTAGCTCAAAGTGATGTACAAGCAAATTTTCAACAGCCTAATGAGAAGAGGATGGAACTGTTTCTCATCACTGATGAGCACAGTTGCCATGTAGCAATTTAAGCTATGAATGCAGGCAGATGCTGCTAATTACCTCAAAGGCTGCTTGTTGATAGGCCTGTGCTGAGGAATATAAATCATGTTCTGTTCTATTCTTACCCACTCCTCTACCAGTTGACCCCAGAAGACATTTCCAGCCCTTTGCCTGGGGCTGAAGGACTGTTGGCACACCAAGACTGGAATTGTCCTGCTCCCTCTCTCAGCACTTTTGCCATACTTGCTCTCTTCCAGCTCCGTGGCATTGCTCTGGCACTGGAACCATCATCAGAAACACCACGAGTGAGCCAGAGTCCTCCTACTTTTCTTCCAGCGCTCTCACGTGCAGGTTAATCAGACTAATTGAAGTTGCTTATTGTTAATTCCACATCCTCTTTAGTTCCTGAGGAAGGGTGGGAGTGGTGCAGAGGTACCAGGAGTCAGCCCAGGTCAAGCAGAGCTTCTCAGTGCTGGTTTTGCAGCCCCAGAGCTGCTGCCTGGTTTGTTCCCCCTGGTTTGTGCTCCCTGGTCTCTGTTGCACCTGAGTTTTCCATGAAGCAGAGCAGCCCAACTCTCTGTTGTTAGAAACTCCTCCCAGCTCTGTGGCAAGTGAAAAGCAGCAACTGATAATCCAACACAAACCAGAAAAAAAAAAAAAAGGAGAATTTGCCTCTGAGCCCGGAGCTGTTGTGCAGTCAGGAATTGTAAACGTGTGGAACTATCCATGTTATGGTTCACAACTCATCTTTGCAGTTAAGTCTTGCTGTGTCATGCCAGGAGTCCAGACATCGTAGGGCAGCTGAATAACCAAGCTGCTTCCTGCTTATGCAGCTTTCAGTTCTCTTCCTCTAGCAACAGTCCTATTTACACTTGTGTTGTGGAGTAGCTCCTTCTTCCTTTCCCCTCTTTGTCACTGAGTTGTCAGTTCACTTTTTTCGGTTTCTAGTCTTTGCACTTCCTTTGTTCCTGACAAAGGCATCCCTGTTTCCTCGAGCTAAATTGCAGTTCCAGGCCTTGTGCTGCCATGGGGCCACAGGCTCTCCCTGCACGTGTCTGCATGACCTGGCAGGGACACCTGGCATCTCTGAGACAGGTGAAAGCGTTTGTTCTGACATCATCCAGGTCTGTGTTCTGACAGGAACACACCCCCAGGGCACAGCACATCACACAGTCTCTGCAGGCTGCCTCCAAAACACCCTCTTTTGCTCTTTTTACTCCCTTTGGGTCTAGAGCCATTCAGAGACTGGCAAAACCTTGGCTGCAAGTTTGGGGTACGGTTGTTTCACGCAGACATCAGCACTTGTTTTTAGCGTGTGTAATTGTTTTTCCCCTTTTGTTCCTGATGATCACAAATCCCCCGTGCAGAGAGAAGCCTCTCCTCGGATGTGCCATCATTTTAGTCTCTCTAACTCGGTCCATCTTGGAGCACATATCCAGCACCAGGGCACAATATTTTTGTATCACGTCTTTTTTTTCTCTCCATTTTTGATTTCTGTAGATGAACATCTGCAACAAACCTCATAATAAGATCGCTCCGGAGGATTTGGATGAAGCTGTCCCCGAGGTGCAGGTGCAGCGTGCTCGAAGAAATGGCTGGAGCTGGCCCCTGCACCTGTTCCAGATCATTGCCTGGCTGCTGTACCTCTTCTTCGCGCTGGTTGGCTTCGGAATCCTGGTGCCTCTCCTGCCCCGCCACTGGCTGCCTGCTGGCTACATCGTATCCTTTGGTCAGGAGGAGAACAAGGGCTATAACAAACTATTAGAGGGGTTTTTTTGACAATAGTTAGCACAGGAAGAGTTGGAGAAAGCAGCTGAACCGAAATCTTCTTCTGAAGGACAACCACCATCTTGATCCTGTCCTGTCCATAAAACCCAGTTATTTTGAGATCCTCACTTTAGGTCATCAATATCCTGAGGTTTGAATTTAGTGCTTAACAACCTGGTGAGGGTTTATAATTTGTTAGCAAGTGTTGGCTTAGTGCCACTTGGTGCTTGCTTAGCCAGAACCAGATAACCAAGAAATATTACTGAGAGAATCCTAGGAAAAGTTCTGATGAGGTGGGATGTGCATCTAACATCATTTATAAGTCTGATTTATGTTGGTCTATGAGTCTTTGATATGTTTGGGATGATTTTACTTATCATTGTTTTAGTTACGTCTGCGTGATTTAGGCATTAATGTCATTAGCTCACAGTGGTCTTACATCTACTTAGCTTACCCAAATCCTTGGTACTATCATGGCTCAAACCTCGTGAATTTGCCTACCAAATATCTTCATAATGCAATCTAAAGTCATTCCAATTCAACAGATTAATGTATCCCAAAGTTTTACTTCCAGTTAATAAAGCACTAATGTCTCTTTTGTGTCAAAGGCAAATCCCTTCCCATTCTGCTACGCCAGCCATCAGAGTTCCAGTCAGCTGGGCCTCTCAAAGACCTCAGTTTTTTTCCTTCCTGCATTGCTCTATTTTCCACAGGCCTTGGTAGGATCAGTGATGTGCACAAATCCTCAGTCGTGTCTGTAAATTTTGTAAGGAGCCTACTCTTAAGGGGTGCTCCTCTTTCTTGGAATTCTGGCTAAGGAAAAGCAAAGCAAGGTGATCAGTACTAGTTCCTTGCTGTGACTTCTGTTTTTCCCTTCTTGGAATTTGGTCTTGTGAAGGGGCACGTGCACAACCTTAACCACTCTCCTTTCCAAAGAGGTCTGTATGGACTAAGAAATGTGGACCTGTGTCAGCAGGGTCAGAGTCTGGTAAGTAAAGGTAACTTCTAAAAACTCTCTGTGCTAGGAATGACATTTCTGTGAGGCAGAGTAGTGCACAATAAGGAGGATTGTCCCTGCAGATTTAGTTATCTTTTCCCAGAGGAGATTTATTACAGCGCAAACCTCTCTGTTAATAAACTGCTGCAATCAGTTATATGGTGGTTTCCGATTCTGAGTCATGTATTCCTCGTCTGTGTCGGCTTTGTGTATTAAGGATCAAAAGATAAACATTAAATCCTTAACTGTGTACTTACTTCAGTGTCCAGGAGTGTGTTTTATCTACCATTTAGTTGTTCATCTTACTGCAGTCTCCATTGACCCTGCGGATGCAAATGTGCGAGAAAAAAACTATCTGGGGCCTCTGGCCACCTTCAATCGTAACCAGCATGCACATGTCATTGAAAACCATCACTGCCATGTCTGTGACGTGGATGTGTAAGTATCTTCTTTCTATTTCCCTGTCTTCTTTAGCTTTGCACTTCACCATTGGTCCATAACGTCAGACTGTAAGGTTGTAACCGAGCCCCTGAAGCGCGAGCTCAGCTTCATCCTCTGGCAGGTTTCAGGTGGTTGGGTAGGGACCTTCTGTCAAATGTGTGTTTTATTTCACTGCTCACATGTTGCGTGGAGAGGGCTGTTGTGTTCTGTGTTGCCTGGGTGTTGGTGTTTGACCTAGCAGTGTGTAATTGTGTGTGTTTGTGTCTGGCTGGATGCTGATATGGTAGCAGGAAATGCTTGAAGGGCAGGCATTGAGATCAAGCTTTGTGGAACTGCTGAAGGGATTCAAATCAGAAATCGACAATTTGCAGTTTAGAAATCACGCAGGGCACTGAAAGGCAAATTTGGTAGTGTTTGGGATTGGGGTCCAACAATGGTAGATGTGTTTGGGAGTTGAAGTGCTCTTGATGCAGGTTTTCACACTATTACCAGGGTCTCTGCTGCTGTATCCCCTCTGTGTTTGTGTCACTGGAAAGTCATGGTAATGAGCCGGTGCTGCCACGCTAATGCCACCCTTTCTTCGGCAGGAGTGCCAAGTCAAAGCACTGTGGAACTTGCAACAAGTGTGTATGTGGCTTTGATCATCACTGCAAATGGCTCAACAACTGTGTGGGAGAGAGGAATTACTGGTAGGAGCCTGGTGTTGTGACAGGAGCAAAACACTGCATCAGTAATGTCACCCCTTCCCTTCCCAAGGTTCTCCTGCATCTCAGTCCAGTCTGTACTCAGCCACACAGAACCACTTTTCTTTCAGTTTCTGGCCCACTAAAATCAGCCATGAGAAAATTAGATGGAAAATACAAGCATGATTATGACATTCAAATAACCAGGGATAAAATCCCAACAATTAGAATTTTGCAGCTGAACATCTGTGAGTAAAACCAGAGAACTTAGTCTTATTCTTTGGTATTAGGAAAAGCTTACAAGATGTTAATTGGGTGTCCTTAATGCTCCTGAGAGCTGGAGTGGGAATAGAACCACGATCATGCTGTTCCAATCTGAAACCACCTGCATCCAGATTGTGTGCTTTCCCTGTGAGACTTGCCAGTTGGCAGGATTCACAGCAGCATATAGACACCTCTAATCCGTGCCAGGTTTCAGATAAGAATAAGCAGACTATCACTGATGCTTCTCAGTTTACTTTCCCCCACTAAAACCCCGTGGAGAGCAAAGTGTTGCTGGTGCTGGGTGCCAGGTTTCACTGCCTGCAGATTTTGTGCAGGGAGCTCTTTGTCTGTCCTAGATATACTTGACTGTTTTGTAACCACAGCTTCTCTAAAGGGTCACAGTTTAGTCCCTCAGGGTAACAAAAAATAAGTCAGACTGTTCACCACTATCTATCATAAGTGTAATTTAGCGTGACAGTAATTTGAGACAGCTGTCTTTATCTCCATCTTTATTAGAGTCTGGGATATTGAATTGTATGTGTGATGTTATTGAAGCCACTGAGACCTCTCCCCTTCTTGCAGGCTCTTTTTGAATAGTGTTCTGTCTGCCATCCTGGGCCTGGGGCTTCTGCTGCTCGTTGCTTTCTACGTCTTTGTGGAGTTCTTCGTCGACCCCACGATGCTCCGCTCAGACCAGCACTTTGATGGTACAGCAGATCTTCAGCTGAGCATCCTGTGAATCAGCCAGCATGTCTCCTTGTGGGTTTGGGTTCTGTGGGCTCTTCCACTCAGGAGGAACTCCATTCCTTACTCTGTCTACTTTATATTTCTGTTAGAGTGTCTCTGCTCAGCTGGATGGAGTGTCTTTCCTTACAGAGCTAACTGCTCTTCCCGAAGTCCCCACAGGCACCAGATTTCTTAGGCCTCCAGGGCACAGTGGGTCTGCAGCTACTTTTGAGTTAACAAGATTTCCAGCTGTAAAGTTTAGTTTAGAGGTATTTCCTACCCAGACAATCCATTTAACCTTCAATTCCCTCTGTTTTACAGCTCTAAGGAACCACATGGACCGCTGGCTTGTGTTTCTTCCTGCATCTCCTGTTGAGACCAAGGCACCTGCCATTTTGGTCACAGCTGGGATTTTTATTCTTCTGAGCCTGGTGACCGTGATCCTGCTGGGCCACCTCTTGACCTTCCACATTTATCTCTGTAGGTGTTATGTTCCTGTCACCTGCATCCCTGCTTTGTTTTCATTTTATGAGCTTCCACTCATCCTGCACTTGCTGTGTGTTCACCCCTGTCACAAATAGACACACATTGGAAAGGTAGAAAATTGGGGGTTAACATCATAATTAACGAGTTTCCCTCAGTAGCAGGCTGGCTTATCAGTGCATGTGCAATGTGGGGCTTGCACTGTGCCTGTGCATTCATGTTTGAGCTGTGTTGTCCTGGAACTGAAGCACGTGGGAGAGGATTGGATGAGACTGGGGGGGATGAAGTGGTTGATCCCAGCGTGGCACCAGCAATGGCAGATTCAGATTGACTCTGCATATGGGCTCTGTGAGTCTCCTCACTGTGCTTTGTTGTGTGAGAGGGCCTGTTTCTCCCTCATCCCAGAGAAATGTGGATGCACTGAGCTAAGTTTCTAATTGGAGCCCTGACACCCAGGCCAAGGTCACTTTATGGAACTTGTACCATATTGACACAAGACTCGTGGAATTCAGGGGAGAGGCTTTCAGAAAGGCTTCTCTTTAGATCTCCAGGTTGTTGGTGTGTCAAGAAGGGGTATTTATGTTTGTTTATGTACAGATGGGCATCAAAAACCTTTTTTCAGTCATCGCCTAAAATGAAGCCAGTGCTTTTTGGCTGCTGACGAAAGTCGGGATGGGAAAAGATCTTACACTTGCATTAGATGGCGGTGCCAGAACTAGGGAAAAGGGATATGGTGGAAGAGAAGTGAAGGGCAGCAGTTACAGAGGATCCTTGGAAGGATTTTCAGCTTCTCAGTTAACATCTGTGCAGGTGCCAACACAAACTAGGTCAGCACAGACCAGCACAGCTCCAGAGGCAAAACAGCTGCAGTGCTGAAGTGCAGCGTTCGATGGGTGGGTGCTCCTCAGCTGGCACGGGTGTTGCAGTCAGTGAGGACACCGTCCTTTCCCTCCTGGAGCCTCTTTGAGCTTGACTTAAACTTGGTCGTGCTGTGATTTTGCTTTCTTGGTGGAACTGCCAGTTGGCTTTGCTGAGCTAATGGCGATACCTGGGGCTTCAAAAGGTTGATCTCTAGCACCGTGGAAAGGCAGAAAGCATGTCCAAGCTGGGGCCGCTCCAGTAAGGTTTCTTTTGGATGAAGAAGCATTGTTCGGTTTAGTTCTGAGCTGTGTTTATCCTGTCCCTGTGCACAGCTTCCACCAGAGGGTGCTCCGTGCCTGGGATACAGACCTGCTGTCTCCGTCAGAACTCGCAGCTCTGCTCTGGGCTCGGAGACTTTTGGTTGCTCTTGCCTTGGGGTGATTCTTCTTCCTCTGTCAGAATAAATTTTGAGCCAAGTCGACTTTTACTTTTGACCCGATTTAAAATGAATTAATTATTTATTGTTAAATTTTGCTAATGTTTTGTTGCATTAAAATCTGCTGCCCTAATGAAACTGGTTCCAGCTGTGCAGAATGTAGTGTGTAAGTCCTTGCTTTGAAGGAGGGGTGTTACCATACTGAAGCCTGTATTGTGTGCTACACTTGAGTATGCATTGCACTTACAACTGCATTTAGCTTAAAAACTGGGCTTCAGGGAGATAGACAAATATGACTGGTTGAATTCCTCTTATTTCACATCTGTACTTGTCAATAGTTTCCTCTGAATGCTTTAAGGTAGACAGTGTTTTAATGAACTGTCTACCCTCTTTTGGGACTAGAAGTACAGTTTACCAATTCAAATGTAATTACTGTTCATAAGTATTTTTTCACAAACCTTTTTGTTTTTAAATAATTAAATCACAGAAAGAAAATAACATCCCTGTGAGTGGTAATGCCCTTAGGCTTCACATAAAAAAAAAACTGGCTTCAGTCAGGTATGACTTCGAAAATTTAGAATCTAGTTTTGTTACAAGCACAGTGGAAATTTCAGAGTTACTTTCCTGATTTTAATTACTCACGGTGATCACTCAAAAGGAAGGATGTAGGTTATTCTCCAAATAGTAGGTCCATGCATTAAAAATTACTAGTCTTGATTCAGGCTCAGTTCTAAAGGCATTCAGTGAAGCACAGCACTTGACAAATTTGGAGGGAGGATATATTTTTTCTTCAATGCTGAGAGGCCAATAGTCAGCAGAGTAGAAAGAAAAAAATAGTAGGGAATATAGAAAAGGAATATAGGAAAGGATGTATGGCTCTTCACAGGCTGTGATTATATGTTGTGTGTTATGTGCTGCGATGTTATCTGGCCAAAAAATGCAGTATTTTAACTAAAAAGCTCTGTTAAAATATTTTAAAATTCCACAGTAAGTACTCAGAAACCAACAAACTCTAAATTAAAAATGGTTATAGCCCTTTGCTTATGAAACCATATTCTGTTTCTCAAAGAAAGCAAGCGGTGCCATTGCAGGAGCCCTTGCCAGCACTCTGCACTGTCCCCATTAAGTGCATTTGCTAATCACTTGGCTGCAGACTCACATTCATCTCTCTGTGCTCTGTCTTCCTGGCCAGATGGATCCTGAATTTTTATTTCTTCATGAGGTGATTGCTTTAGCAGAGGGGCACCTTCTCCTCTGCTCTCCCCCACTTTCCTGTGAAGTAATCGTGTGCTCAGGGCATGGCTTTGAGAGATAAGATATTACTGATGCAAGTCTCTTCAGGCAGAGGAAGGATTTTAGTCCGGATGTCCCACATCCCAGGCATCTGCTCTAACTGCAGTGCTTCTGTAAAAAAAGGTGGAATGACTACCAGGCTGTGCACTAAAACCCTTCAGCATCTATTTCTGGGTTTTGTTCTCCAAAAATACTCACCATAACAGGGTCGTTATGAAAGGAATGTCTGAGGTTTGGACCCTGACAAGATTTTGGGTCTCACGGAGAAACCAAGCTGCTCAGAAACGTCCCATGCTTTTGGTCATTTGTGGAGGCAGATGTGTTTGTGTGGGGGACCTTAAGAGCAAATAAAATCAGAGATATGTGAACTCTGGGCGCATCTGCTTGGCACGAGGCAAGCTGTGCATTTGATGCTGGCTGGTTTGCACATTAAGTGCCTCAATCTCCACAGGACACAGTAACCTGAGCAATTCCTTCCCTCCATTTAGCATCACACACCTTCTGATTACTCACTGAGCTATTCATACCTGTTGGCCATGAATAATGGATGTGCTCTGAAATGAGCTGAACAGATTACTGCAGTCTAGAAGGCTGTGCCATTGTAGGGTGGTTTAGAAGAGCAGTGGGACTGCAAGAAAGCCTTGTGATGATGGCAATAAGAGATAAAGTAAGATGCATAAAAGATACAGTACAGTGCACAGGTACTTTTGGCTCAGAGTATCAGTCCTTTTATGTTTACAGTTACCATTTGACTGTGTGGTTGTTCAGGCTGTCTGTGTGAGTGCAGTCAGGGAGTGGCCTTTCCTGTGCTGACAGGTCTCTTTCTCTCCTCCCAGTGTGGCACAAACTGACGACCTACGAGTACATCCTGCAGCAGCGGCCACAGCAAGAGGCAGAAAAAGTGGACAAGCAACAGGAGTCTTGCTCCTCCCAAGTGAGGCCCAGTCAGGTACTCGTCCTACTCTCAGTCCCCTTTCTCAAAACCAGCCTCACTTGCCTGCAGGGCAAAGTTTGCTTCACTTTGTTGAGGTCCAAATTTTAAAGGCAGTTAAGGTAAAGATAAGACCTTAGAGGTGCTTTGATGGGGTTGAGTAGGATGTGAGAGGGTGTAAGGCCTGTAATTCGATGAACACTTGAGGCAGAAGCAAGCACTGCTTTCAAAGGAATCAATCCCACCCACTCTCTTCCTCCACCACTTGTTTTGGGCCCTACAGTGTCTCATCTCCTCTGCCAGCACAGCTGTTCGTTAGAACAGGGTGGGGGAACTCATCTGAGTAACAATAAAGTTATTACAAAAAAAAAAAAGTGGTTGAGCTGGCCCAGCTCCCTCCCATTTGGTTCACCAAGCAGTCACAAAAATGCCTGGCTCAGCACGAAGGAGGGTGGCTGAGGAGTGGGAAGAATCCTTTCCCTGAAAGGGGCAGGACCATCTGTTTGGGTGGCAGAGCACATCTTGGTGCCCTGTGGGAGTGGTGCCCCAGGTCATGGCTGCAAGTGAGACCAGCTCTAAGGCTGGAGAAACTACTCATGGAGCAGCTGATCACAGCAATAATTTAACCATCTTCAAAGTGAAAAGGACACCAGTCGTGCAGAAATGACCCAGATATCTGCTTTTCTTTGAACTGAGTCTACACAGTGATAAAGGGTCCTTGTGATTCCCATGATGTTGATCTGTATCTCTGTAAAAAGAGTTCTACAGGCTCTTCAATGCTGCTGCACTCTGCAGAGGCAGATATATCCCCTCTCTCAATTGAGCAGAATTACTGGATTAGCTCAAATTTTAACTGGAGAAATTCTGTACTGGCTTTAACAGGGGATGGAACTAGAAACTTCCAGAAATTCTTCCTAATCTAAATTATTCTGTGATTCTCAGTCCTGTGTAACTTTTCACTTTATGCAAGTTACCTACTATACAACCAGTTTTATATTTCATAAGAAATTAATTAAATCCAAGCTTCATTCATGTATCCTGTGTTGAGATACTGGGATCTCTCTAGACTCATCCATAATTTTTCCCTGTCAAAGCAAATGGAAAAGTGAGCTAATTCAGTTTTGTATAATATGGAGTCCCTAGCTTTTCATGTATATATATATTTTTTTTTTAATTTTTTTTTTACTGTTTTGGAAAAGTTGAACTTTCAGTTTAAGCAGAGGTTTCCATAACAACAAAAATATTTGGCACTTTATCTCAGAGAGCTTTGCTTACTATGAAAATTAAAACAATAGTAAAGCATTAGCACTTATCATCTAGGTACTGAATATTAATTGACACTGAAAATGTGTTTGAGAAGGGGTGGACTTCATGTATGTGTGTGTGTGTGCACTTTGGGATGCAGCCTTTCAGTGGTGCTTGTCTAGAGGTGTGTGAATATGGTTAATTGGGAGCAGCAAGCCTGGAAGGAGCAGGGTGAGGAGGAGTCTGGTGTTTCAGGGCTGCACTTAGTACCTTGGGGAACCAGAAAGACTGGATGATGCCCAGTAACATTGTTAAAAAAAGAAAAACCACCCTTAACCCACCAGATTTTCCTTGTTTCTTACATAGCAACCAGAGATAAACACAAACAAATAGATTGGAGTAGGAGGACACCAAGTGACTTGCCTTTTGTAAGCTGTGTTGAATGCAGCCTTCTTTAGCTCGAACACAGCCACCCTTTGTGATTGATCCAACGTGTTGTGAGCACAAAATGGAAATCATCCTCTTCCCGCTTTTGTCTGAACTGCTCATTCATTTTGGGGACTCAGAAGAAACATGCATTTCCCCCTTAATCCCTGGGTTTGAGCCTTATTCCAGCTTGGGTGTTGGGTTTGGCTTTGATTTTCCACGTTGGTCTGTAGTTAAGACTTTGGCTGTGTTCAAGTTAGAGGATTCTTGTTCAGGTTAAAGGATTCTTATTGTACTTGTAGAATCCTTCTCAGAACATGCACAGAGCAAGAGCTCTAATTTTGCACACTTAAGTGGTTCAGGTGGCACAAAAAGTGCAAACCAGTCGGACACATCGAGCCTTTGCCTCTATCACCGTCCCCAAAGCAGGATGTGCAAGTAACAATTTTTTCTGTAGGCTGTTGCATAGCAGTCCAAAGAAATACAAACTAAACCAAAACTGATGCTTTAATGAATAATTGCATTCATGCCAGGGACCTGGCTTTCATATGGGGCCAGCTGGGATGTGATTCTTCTCACATTCCCGAAGCTTTGAACTTGCTCTGGACACTGAATCAGGTTGCTGAGGTTTGATTTTAAATAATAGACGCAGATTTTACTCAGCTTCCCTCAAATTTTCAGCATTGTTCCTTCCTTCCAGCGTTGCCTTAAGGTGAACCTTATCTTCACTCTCAGCCTCAGAGATCCCCTTTCCCTGGGACAAGAACGGTTTTTTTCCTGTTCAATCCTGCCTCCCTTCCAGGCAGACAGCACTTCAGGGCACTTGCTGTCACTGAAGGGGTTGATAAGGGCAGCTGCAGCAGGCAAGGGAGCTGAATTCACCCTCAGCTTGTAACCACAGTCCTTGGTGGGGACACAGCTGGTGTTTGGTGAGCAGGGCCAGGCTTGGCACGGTGGGCTGTCGATCCCACAGTCTGTTCTCAGCAGGACTAGCAGCTGAATCCCAACAACCCAGCTGCAAAGAGGGGCTTGTCTTGGTGCTGCAGGGGAAGGATTCTGGCTGTCCTGCTGCTGCCTGAGAGCAGAAGGAGGCTTGGGCTCTGCTGTGGCTGGAGGTTTTGTCACACTGACAGGACATTGTATTTTCTACCGAGCGAATCTGCTTCCATTTGTTTCCTCTAGTCAGCTTCAGTGCTGTACTTCCATTTGTGTGGCTGCCTTGGTTATCCATTATTTATGGAAGGCTGAAATGAACAAAATGGATTTCAGAAAGGCTCTTTCGTTCCCTGCTTGGAAAGAAATGTTCCTCTTATTCTCGAGATGAATCATTTATTAATCTCCCTTGCCATGCCGGTCCTGCTGTCCTGTTTGTGTGCCCTGGACGTTGAGTGCTGATTGTTTGCAGTTGCTCTGCACACTGGGATGTCTCCTGCTACAGCTCATTTCAGCCACGACCTGCTTCCCTCTGAAAACACCTGTACCAGGCTGTGTCTGGTCTCCTTCACTTGTGACTCAGGTGCACAAGTCCTGAATTTAAATTTTGGTGGTAAATGTCCCCAGGGAGCTTTGGGGAGACATTTGTGCACACTTTGTGTTCAGTCCGTGGTCAGCAATGATCTGGTTTACAAGTTCTATGTGAAATACACGTAGTAAATTTCTGCAGATTATTAATCTTGCACTTGCATAAATCCTGCCTGTAATAGATCTAAATAGCATGATTCTCAGATCAGAAAGTCCTAACATTTGCAACTGCTAAACCTGTCCCCTTCAAATTTTATGTTGCCACCTATAAAACAGCTGCAAATTCCTCTCCACCTCTTTTTTGTGTTTTTTTTTTCCCTTTCCAAGACCAGTTAAACACAGAGCATGTTAACAAAATGCAGCAATTCTGAAGTCTTTCCAGTTTGGCAACTCTCTTATCTAACCATTGCATGAGTGCAGAGACTCCAGACATCGATGCCAAGATGTTTGAAAGGAACTAGTGATTTTGGAAATATCTCTTCTGCACAGGGAGAAGTCTGGCCAGAGGGGATCAGACCAGTGTGCTGGCTCTGACACTGGCCAGCTCTGGCTGCTGAGACAGAGTGCAGGAGCTGCAGCCCCCAGGGCTCTCTCCCAGCACTCAGCACTGTGTGTTAGAGCCTTCTGGAGCACAGAGCTTCAGACAGCTTTGTATCTGCTGGTTTCCCACACCAGCCTTTCTCACTTCTTGAATCCATGTCACATTTAGCACCTGCAGCACCCTAGAGCTTATTTCCATGCTGTGTCAGAAATGCAGCCTTCCTTCTGTTTCTTTTGAAACTACTACCTGATTTTTTTTTTTTATTTGATACTCTCTAAGTGCTGTGTTAGAGAGCTGGTAAACAATTATTCCCTATAAGCTTTCTCCACTCTTATCTGCCCTGAGTATTCCCTCTTGTGACTGAAGAACTCTGGTCTATCAGCTGTTTCTTGTGCAGAAACTGCTCAGTCCCTCTCATTGTCACTGTTCTCTGTACCTTCTTCCCAGCCCTCTGTGGTGAAAGATGCTGGGGCACTATAAAGAATCCAGTGTCCAAGCTTTCGATGAATTCATTCAGTAACATGAAACTGTTTTCTATTTTCTCCTTTTATTCACCTTTCCCTTTTATTCTTAACATCTGAAATGACTTCTTGGCTGCCACTGAATGTGCAGCTCCAGGGATTCTTTTCTAGTTGCTCTGCATATGAAGTTTGTCCTGCTTTCCCCATCTTTACCTCTGGCAATATTGATTTCTGTGTGCCATTTTCTCACCCTGTAATTCAGGATTAAGAGGCTCTTCCGTGGCTCTCTGCAGCTGCCTTTCGTTTTTAATGCCTTACAGCAGGGAGTGTCATCACCAGGCTTCTCACTGCTCTGCTCTTTTGTTGATGGTTTATGAATCTGGTGAAGTGCAGAGGCCCTGGGTCTCTCAGGAGCCCATCTGGGGATGTCCAGCTCTGACTTCATTTTTCTCAAATTTGCTGATCAGGCTGTTCAGAAAAATAGGTCTTCATCCGCCTGTTTAAGCTTGTTTAATGCCTCTCACATTTAAAATCCCTCCATCTTCACCACCTAAAAGTTACCTTAAAATGTGTGCCTTCATAATCTCTGCATGCTAAAATGCTTAAGAGGAAATTGTCCTGCTGGTTATTCAAGTTTAAGAGGAGCTGAGGTAGTGTCAAGGTTCTTCAGAGCATGGTTTATCCTTTTTGATAACAGGATTTCATGGCCTACATCCCTTGGTACTCTGACCATCTTAACTAGATCCTTTTGAGGGAGAACTGGAGTCCTTTTCTGTAATGCAAACACTTGGATTTAGGAGGCTTCTTTATGGAGTCTTCTTATAAGTACCTGAAAATATGCAATTTTCAAGCTCAGTGTGGCATTACTTTGAGTTCACCTATAGCTGAGGCAAATGATCAATGTATCACATGTTTTTTTTAAAAAAACAGCAGTTACCAGTCAGACAGGATCATACAAGAAGCAGAAAATACTTTATGTTTTTTCCATAGGTTGCATGCTTTCATCTTCCTCACCATTTTGCATTTAAAAAGCAGGTTTTTTGCATTCACTGAGTAGTTCCTCAGATTGAACTAATGGAGGCTTTGAGTGGTGTTTTGAATGTGGTCCCAAGAAATGACTAAGCTGATCTCTCTAAGTGTGATTTGGTCTTGAGTCACATAAAATGCTGCCCGGACTAAATTAATGAATCAAGGACTTCTAATTGTGTTCAGTCTTGGTTTTCCATCTTCTTAAGCAGCAGATTCCTGCTGAGTTTCAGCTGTGCTGCCTGTAAGGATGGCAGAAAATGCCTGGCATGAGGAGAAAGGAGATATCTGTAATGAAAATCCCTCTTCTCCACTCTGTGTCCATATTAGTCTGAAAATGTTAATTTTTTTTATTTTTTTTTTCCAGGAAGCAGACTTACTATCAGGTAACCCTGGCTATACAGACCCTGGAATTCAAGCAGTGGAATTCTCAACAGTAACTTCAGGAAAAGGGTGAGAAGAGGTCTCCCAGCAGTGTGTGTGGTGAATGGGAAATTGTCATCAAGGATAGGGAGCACCAGTATTTTGACCAAGACCCAGTGAAATCTTTGAGTTTCAAGAAGGGGGTAAATATTTGCTTTCCCTTCCCTGGGAAAACATCATTCCTAGAATACTCTATTAACGCTGTTTTACAGTAAATATTTTATATCAAAGTGGTTCCTATTAATTGTTTTATGTTAAGATTACTTTGAAGCTGCCTGATTTATCCCATAATGCCTGCATGCTGCTCATTGTAGTTACATGATTTCAGGTTGTCAAGAGATGCAAAGTTTATAACACAGGCAAGCACTCATGGGAAAAGAAGGTCTTTGCCTCTTAATTAATCCTTGCCTGTTAATTTGTGTCCCTGGAGATTTCCTTCATATTTAGCACAGTTGTGCAGGAAAAGCTCCCCTGCAGTTTTGCTGGGAATGCTGTGCAAGGCATCAGGGAGGCTTCAGTCAGGTTGATGTGTACATGCAAAGAGGGAATCAGAGTTCAGTCCTGCCTTGGGGACTCACCCTGTGTGTGTGCTGTGTGTTTTAGCTTTCCCAAGCTCTATGGCCACAGCAGAGGAGGTGACCCCGAGCAGAGCTCCTCCCCAGACCCCCCAGCTCTCCGCTTTGCAGTCCCTTCTCAGGTAAGCAGGACCTGCTACCCCCCAAACCTGTGCTGCTGACAATCCACCGAGGTGCAGGGGCACACCCTCACTCTGGTGCAGGCTGTGCTTGCCCCCTGCTCACACAGGGTGTGAAGCTTGAGCCTATGAAACAGCTGTCCAGAGTCCTTGGGCTGTGCTCCTGACATTCATGTATCTCCATCCAGATGCTCTCCCCTCTTGCTCAAATGGCAGATGGGGGTGCTCTTCCCCTTTCCTCCAAGCTCATTATCAAAATCTTGTCATCTACATGATAAGAAAAACTCCTTTTCATGTATACTTGTATTTTGGACAAGAACTGTCCCTCTCTTGGGAGGGACTGTCCCTCTCTGGGCTGTCCTGTGCTGTGTGAGTTTTGGACCCCTCTTCTAGTTTGGCTTTGCCAATACAAGTGATCAGTGTCTCATAAATCCTCCAGCTGGATGAGACAACACACAGAGAATCACTGCATGCAGATAATGTGTTTATTCAATACCTGTTCTCTATCCCTGCTTTATAACAACTCATTCTTAAACTAGAAAATATTCTTGGTCTTTGGTTATACCTAGTGCTCATTATTCAAGTAGGAGGAATTAGAAAGGGGTAGAAAGTAAAAAAACTGTCTGTCTTGTTACTTTGGGCTTATAAACCGACTTTTCCTCCCTTGGGCCACTTGCTCTCACAGCAACAGAAGAAAAGAAGAAAGAAGATGCACAAAGCTTCTTCCTCAGCAATGGACAGTGGATCTAAAGAGCATGCTGCACCTCAGCCCTCGTTCCCAGATCCCCAGTCAGGTGAGAGTGCACCACTCAGTTTCTCTGCTGAATTTTGTGTAAATGTAGGTATGATTTTCTCTAACACTGGTGGATCAGCCACAGCAGAGTTCCTGGGCTTCTTGATGTCCCTGTGGGGCTGAGAGATCTCTCTCAAGCTTTCTGCTCCCTTTATTTCCATCTGCAGAGTTCCCAGCTACAGCTGCTGCCACCTCACCTTCCCACAGCCTTCACCTCTTAGTGCCAGCTTCTGCTCTGAGAGCTGCTGTGCCCCCTGGCAGCATCAGCCTCATCCAGGCAGCAGGACCCCCAGCTGACTATCACTCAGAGTCTGCTGAGTCCATGGATGAGACTCCTGTGGCTCAGACTCGCCTTGGGAGCACAGCCCTTCAAGGGCCTCCTAAGAATAACTCAACTCTCAACATTATCCCTTGTCCACAGACAGCCCCAGAGGTGACAGGAAGAAGAACCTGCATTCTGAGCACAAGGTAAAAAGGAGAGGCTGCCAGCACGACAGGCGCGTGGAACAAGACCTGGAACTTTTCTCCCAGGTTCCTGATGTGTTTGTGAGTAAGAGCAGTGGAGAACCTCTTGTCCCTCAGCTCCAGCCCAGGGAGAGCACAACCGAGCCCGACCACAGAAAATGCACCACCAGCAAGCAGCATGTGAGCAGACACGACCCCTGCTCCAAGGACATAAGGACAAGCACCACAGCGGCCTAGGGATCAGCCTTCCAAAGCCACAGCCTTTGGGAACGGGGTTAGCTTTGTGTAGAGGCCTCAGGGGCTCATCCCTCACTCTGCACGTGCTGTCAGGCTGCAGTGAGACGTTTCTCACCCTCAGCCAAAGGCAAGAGGCAGTGAGGTGGCAAACCTGAGGTAGACCTGTTGCTCTCGAGAGAGTTCCAGTGCTTTCCTTAGGAAAGGGCTGATCCCTCACGGCCCTCTGCACAGTGGGACTGCAGGGACTGCCCGGGAGACTGTGTGGGGAAGAACCAGCCTGCATCTCTGCTCTTCCCTGCACCCTGAAATCTCTTATTTCCCATCTACCTAAACCCTGTCAGTCTTTGGATCATGCTCAGAGGCTTCAGCAGGTGGTCAGGGAGTAACCTCAGGATTGCCCCATCCCTACACCGCTTTCCACTGTGCCCCCTCAAGCCAAGTCCACTACCAGCATGTTCTCTGTAAGGCAATGTAGTTTGACCTGCTCCCCCTTCCCAGCAGCCTGGGGTGCCCCACAGTGCAGCCTTCTCATGGCAGAGGCTTTGGGATACAGCAAATCCTGAAACCTTTCCATTTCCCGGGCTGCCAGATCTGCATTAGGGCTCAGCCAAGCCTTGGTTGATGTGACCAGTTGCACCATTTCCAGACAGGCCCAGGAAAGAATTATGAAAGAAAAGGAAGGCAGGGGAGTCTCCATCAGCCTACCAGATCTTTGATGCACGGACAGCACAGCTGACCCTTTGTCCAGACTACAGTGGGTGCAGGTTAGGGAAGGACAGGGCAAAGCAGGTTTGCTGTGTGAGTCAGTGAAGTGTTCTCCCCTCGCCTGTCTCAGCCTGCAAGCACTTATTCAGAGCAGGACAGGATATCCCAACATGGGACAGGCAGGCTGGACTCCCAGCCTTGGTGGGAGAGCCTAGCCCCAGGGAGGAAGACTTGGGGGTGTTTTAAAGGGCTGCCTTACACTCTTCTCTGTTGTCTGATTTTTGTGTCCTGAAAGAACTGGGATGAGGAGCCTTGACTCCTCATCAAATCACATGATCCATTGGTCAGCAAAAGTGAAGTCTCACTTAAGTTGAAGTAATTTTGTCTCAGTTTGCAGGAAGGGCTGGCCTGTGGTCACCCTCCTTGCAGCTTCCCTTGCTGCTGTGGCTGGCGGTATCCACTGGCAGTGTGACCCTTTGGAAAAGCAGGTGAGTGTGGGTCCAGCCTTTGAGGACCAGCACACGTGGCACTGGGTGTCTGCAGAGGCCAGGGCATCTGCTCACCAATGGGTCCTGGTCAGACAAAGTCCTTCCTCTTGTTTCTCCTCATGTCCCTGTCATCCACATCATCAAGGAAACTGCAGCAACGCTGGGTTCAGGGTTTTCCAAGGCCAGCTGTCCCTCCACCAGCAGGCTTTGGTAATTCCTCTGCAGCAGGTGCCCCTGAGCAGACCTGGTGTGTTCTTCTTATTCTCTGTCCATGCAGGACCAGTCCCAAAATCATGTACAGAGTTCTTTAGTAGCTCTGGCCACAATAAAATTTTCTATACTCTTTACTAAACAGTTTCCTCCTTTTTGCAGCCACTCCTGGATCTGCCCGGTCAATGTTCCCGGCTGTTGGTTCACTTCTCCCTCAGCCTCTGATGTCCCAGTGTGGAGGTGACAGCAGTGCCCTCTCCTTAGGGCCCTGTAGGTGTTACATGGGACTGCCTTCCCTGAGGGGTAGGGATCAGGGATCACCTTCTCCCAGAGGTGTGTAACCAGCCTGGTTTCTGTGCTGGACAGGGGGAGCACCAGGGGAGGAGGCCCAGCCAGCTCTGCATCGGGATGCAGAAAGGCTGCTCTGCCCTTTGGGCTGAGCAGAGCTGGGTTTCCTGATCTATCAGATGTCCAGGGAAAGAAACCTCTGGCGTGTCCTGAAGTACCAGGTTTTGGGCTCAGTCTGGGAGGGAAGGGGGGATGTCCTGCAGTTTTCTGGGACATGACCCTGTCCAGGAGCATGGGGCTCACCCTGAGGTTCCCATTTAGTCCTCCCCTTCCCAGGCTCTGCTGCCCACTGCCCTACTGAGAACAGCACCAAATTCCCCTCTCACACACAGAGACACCCCCCTGAGAAGGCTCTCTGCCCCCAGAGCCCCCAACAACCAGTGCAGACCCCATAAGCTGCTGGGATGTCCTGGTTCTGCCCAGCCCTGCAGGCTTTGTGAGGTGCAAGAGCCCAACACCTTTTGTTGGAGACCAATGGGATTCCCTGGGGACCCTGGGCAGGGAAACCATCCTTCTGCTGCCTTCAGCTGCAACATTTTCTCCACTCTGCTGAATAACTCGAGGCTGCCAAACATTGCTGTGTCCATGTGTTGGAGCAGTTGGGTGCTGAGCCAAGAGCCAGGCTCCAGCAGGACGTGCTCCCATCTCTGCCAGCGTTGGACTCTGATCTCCTGAACCTCACAGGCAACAAGCAGGACTGTGTGTGCCACGTGGTAGTGGGAATTGACCTGGGGTTTGTGGTTTTGCCACAACCACATCAAAGGAGGGCCTTCTGAAGATGCATAATGGGCACCAAGAGCGAAGATGGTGAGGCTGAGATGGTTTTAGCTCCTGGGAGAATTGGACTCTCCTTCCCGACCTCACTTCTGTTGTCTTGGGACTCTAATGCTGATACCCCATGGGTTCAGATGCCAGTGGTATTTCTGCTGCCCTGGATGAGGAAGGTCCACAGCAGACCTGTGGCAGTGAGGAAAAGGACAGAGTCACATTAGGGGGCTGCTGCAGAGTGCAGTGTGTGGGCAGAGATCCTGGTCTCGATACCAGAAGATTGCAATGACTGCGAGGTACAGCCCAAGACCATCAGAGAGCCGGAGTCCCGATGCTTTAACTCCCCTTCACTGCAGAAACATTGAGGTCTGACATCCCCAAGCACCTCCTCCAGCACTAAATGAACGGTTTTTGCCAGGGCATGAACTCTCCCATCAGCAGGAGGCAGCGCCCTGGACCAGCTGTTTCCACCACGAGACACTGTGGCTTTTTATTAGGAAGAAGCAATGATTTGCAGGATGACAGCTTTGCACCATCCTCTAAAATCAGAAGTCGTGGTCCCTGGCCACCCTCTGGCAGCTGTGCCAGGCCTTGCAGTGCCTGCCGTAAGCCTCCTGCCTGCTTTCATCTTCGGACCCGGCTCGAGTTTCTTTGTTTACTCTTTGAAGTCAAGGGGGACCTTCCTTTGGGAAACGATTTTGTGTGAGTCTGTTCCTGCGCTGCTTTTGACACGTCCCGAGAGCATCTCAATGAGCTGCCTTGAACTGCGGGGCGGGAAGGGGGGGGAAAGGAAGTTCCTGCCAAGAGGATGGAGCTTTGCCCCCCCTCCTCTGTGCCCGGAGCCGGGCACGGCGGGATCGCGGGTCGTGCTCGGTGGCACAGCCGGCACACACACAGCACCCCGCGCCCCACGATCGCACCGCTCGGCAGCCGCAGCTGAGCCCTGCTGGTGCCTTGTGGACACGCTGTTGCTGGGGTGACCGTACACAGATTGCACAACCTCCGAAACACTTCCCTCTGTTTTGTAGCAACTCGCGCCGGAGAAGCGGCGTTTCCGCATAACCTCATCCCACCCCAGACGCGGCCGAGCCAGCGACTCATTCCTGAAACAGGAGGACTCCCGGGAGCCTGGAGTGCCCATTCCCGGGGGAGGTGAGGGGCAAAGAGGATGAGGGTGAGCACAGAGGGCGCTCCGAGGTTGTGCCGTGCTCTCGTGCAAGCTCTGAGATGCACCTCGAGCAGTCACAGCACTCGGGGGCTCTGTGGGAAGGCAGGGAGAGGGACACAGACCTAGCAGGGACCAGCCCAGCAGCCGAAGCTGCACCTCGGGGACACTGAGCTGTGTGTGAGCCTCGGTGTGTCTGGAGTAAGCACTGGAGACTTCAGCTCATTAAGATCCCTGGGGCAGGAGACACCCTGGGAACATCCTGACCTTGATTAGAAGGGAAATGTCCCCAGGGAGCTGAGCACTGAGCCGTGTACATGCTCCTCCACCACAGCACAGGACCTGTGCAACCTCCCTCTCAACTCCTGCCCGTCCTGTGGGCTCTGGACCAAGCCCCAGCCTCCTCCCGGGCTTCCTTTTCCGGGCTGCTTGAGGAACAGCAGGAGCCAGCCAAGGCCCAGCTCCATCCCAACAGGGCTGTCATGGTGACAACAAACGCACAACAAACCCCAGCCCTTAGGAACCGAAACCTGACCTGCTCAGCCCGACCCCGTGGGGCAGCTCGCCAGCCGTGGCTCGGTGCTCCCCCTGGCCCAGCTCTCCCCGTGTGCCATCTCTTGGCTCTCTGGGCTCTGCAGCCCCAGGACCAGCTGGAGCTCCCACAGAAGAGATGCCAATGTGCCCAGCTCCTGCCTGCTGCCGGCTGGGATAATTGTGCTGCCGAGCCCTGCAGAGCTGCTGCAGCCTGGATGCTCCAGCCCAGGTTACCTGGGCTGCTCTCCGGAGCTGAAGTTGAGCCAGAGACACCTGTTCCAGTGGGGAGCTGCAGGGCAAGTCAAGGACAAGATTGTACCTTCAGCAAGGCTTAATCACCTTCCTCGATGGCAGTCCCAGTTATTCCCCTTTCCTCAAACCAGAGAGAAGGCAAAAGCTCTTCCCCATCTTCTGCGGGTGGGATGACACCCCTGGATCCTTGCTGGTCTGCATGGAGGCTGGTTTACATTCCAGAAACAGGAGAGAGAACAAATACTTATTGGAGACGTCTGCCTGGACTATGGCATCAGATGAGCCTCCCACACCAATCCTGCCTGCACTGGCCTATCCCTGCAGGATGTCCTTGCCCCCTGCCTCTGGGGGCCAAGAGGAGGAGGTTGTCACACTGAGGCTCTACCCCACAGCAAAGGGCTCTGGGTGCACGAGCAGATCTGACACTCCTGGGGCAGCCCAGCCATGGGGACAGCCCTGTCCTTGCCCCGTGGCTCCTCTGCACAGGGACCAGGGCAGACAGAGACTTCAGGGCTGCCAAAGGCTGTGTCGTCTGAGCCACTTCCCAACTCCCCAGGCCGCTGATTTGCCCGCAGGACCCCCATGGCAGCAGCAAACCACACTCTGCGTCCCCTGTCTGTGCACAGCTCCTGGTGATGCTGTGGCTGGTCACCCACGGTGCCCTGAGCCCAGGGAGTGCCAGCAGAGCAGCGGGACAGGAACGGGCTCTGGGCAAACAGCTGAGGTGGGGCCATGAGTAAGTGATGTGGGCTGTGTTGGGACTCCATGACAACCACAATATTTGGGCACAGCCTCAGCTCGCAGCACCCGCTGGGAGCCCTGTGTGTGGTCACGCTCCGGGCTGCAGGATGGGCAGACTGGCATGTGACTGCTCCAAGGATGTCCCACTGGGCCATGCAGAGGGGACAGGTGCTTGCACAGCAAGGCAGTTGGCATTTGTCCCCACAGCCTGGGCAGTGGCCTTTGGTCCATGGTATCACCCACCGAGAGGGGACAGTTCCTCAATAGAGGGGCACGGTGGCTGTGTGGGGCAGGGGACAGGGCTGCAGGGCAGAGCACAGCAGGGCTGCCAGGGGGAGTCTGGGGGGAAAGGGAGGTGGAGAGGCCTCTTGGGGTGAGGGTGGGGCCTCGTGGAGTGATGAAGAGACCTCCTGGGGCAATACTGGGGCTTCGTGGGGTGATGGAGAGACCTTGCAGGGTGGAGGAAAGACCTTGTGGAGCACCGGTAGGGTCTTGGGGAAAATCAGAGGGGCTTCACGGAGTGGTGGAGGGTATCCCAGAGGCGGCACAGCTCCGCCCGGGGTCCGACTCCCCGCCCCGCGGGCGCTCCCGGCCGAGCCGCGGCCCGGGGGAGGCGGGAGGGGGCGGCTGGAGGGCGCGGCCCGCGGCCCCTCCCGTCGCGATGGCGGCGCCTTAAACCGGCGGCGGGGCCGCCCCCCCGCCTCAGAGCGCGGCTCCGCGAGGTGAGTGACCGAGAGAGTGCGGCCGCGCCGGGGACGGGACCCCCGCGCCCTCTGAACCCCCCGCCCTCTGAACCCCCGCGCCCCGCTGCCCGACCCGGGGCCGCTGTGCGGGGAAGAGGGTACGGGGTGGAGGGGCGGCAGGGGCAGCCGCTGGCCCGGCACCCCCCAAAGCGCCCGCGGTGACACCCCCGGCAGCCGGGAGGGGACAGCCCCTGCTGCGCGCTGCGGGGCCGTGCGGGGCGTTGCGGGGCCGGGGGCGGTGGGAGCCCGCGGGAGCGCGGGGCCGGGCGGGGACCGGCGGCATCCCCGCCCCGCCGCGCCTCCTTAGCGACGGTCGCCAGGCAACGCCCATCCTCCCTAGCGACGGTCCCGGGGACCACTCCCCGGCCCTCGCCGAGGCTCCCACCGGGCACCCACCGGGCGACGTGCCCGCTCTGTACCTCGGTGTGCCAGAGCCCTCCATGGCACTGCAGCTTTCCCGGGTACCGCCACGCCCGGTCCTTGCCGAGACGCTGCGGGTGCTCGGCGCGTGGCGAGGGATGCCGAGCCGGCAGGGCGAGGCCGGCGAGGCGACGGCAGACGGGGAGCAGGGATGGGGAGCGCCCGCAGTGC